GTAACATTAGCTACTTTAGCTGCACAGTGTACCAACAGTATGGATTTTTCTCTTGTTGTGGTGGGACATGGTCGGAGACTCTCTCACTCTTACAGTGAACAGGAAACGTGGTGTCTTGGCTGTGTGACATTTTCACAATCCTAATGAGAACACTGTGGTTACAGTCGCTCTGAGACAATAAGAACAGTAACAGACGAACTCAGTTAAATAATAAAATATATCACAAAATAAAAAAATATACGAAATATCTCTGATATAAATATCCAGAATATAACAGAGATTAAATATATATGATTTTCCTCTTTTAGTGCAGAAGCAGCTCTAACGAACAAAAACCATTTGGCTTGCTGGAATTGAAAAATTGTTGCGTGACTAATACGTGGTTTTGACAGAGGCTGACATGATTAAAAAGCATCGTTTTAATCACACTTTGTCTTGTCCTGACATGTAAACCCTTTTTTATATATAACATGTAATTGTATGATGATGGACTGCACCACAGTGGGCAATAAATGTAATTACCGTAGATTTCTTTTTAAAAATGCTATATTGAAGTTTGGAGGATGTGGTGTAAAGCAGCTACCGTCACAATGGTCACTTTGTTCGCCGTTAAGCCGCTGCAGTACGATAGGTGTCGCCACTCAGACAATAGCGCCACATAAGCGCTGATGTAGAAAGAAAGAAGTGAAAACTTTAACCCAAGACTTTGAGTGGGTTTGTTCCACAAACACTCAAGTTTTTAAACTGTTCCAACGTCGTCCTCTGTATATCTGCATGTCAAAATGGAGGCGCACAAAATTGAGAGGGGCCCAATCGGCCGAAGTGCCACACAGTGTCGACACACGAGGGGGCGTTGGCTGAGCACTTCACAAATGATCAACACCAACTCGCTGCCCGTGATCAGGTACCCTGCTGGGATAACGAGCTGGCTAATCAAGACAAGTTTCACCCCAAGTCCAGCACCCTGATTCTGTACGCTGAGCAGAAGGAAGGAGGCCGGGGACTGGTGAGCATCAGCACCATCCAGGATGAGACAACAAACATCCACGAATACATCAGGAAGATGGCCCCAACCGACCGCGTGCTCAGTGAATACCTCAGGCAGCAGAAACCCAAGAAAGAGGAGGAACCATCATGGGAGGTATGTACCACCAGCAGATAGAGGAGGTGGCTGACATCCAGAAATCCTACCAGGGGCTGGACAAAGCTGGACTGAAAGACAGCACAGAGGCAGTAACCATGGTAACACAGGAACGAGCTCTGATCTCAAGATCCATAGAGGCTGGGGTCTATCACACCAGGCAAGACCCCAGCTGCAGGCTGTGTAAAGATGCTCCAGAGGCAATCCAGCACATAACAGCAGGGTGCAAGATGCTAGCAGGCATACATGGAACGCCATAACCAAGTGGCCGCCATAGTTTACAGAAACATCTGTGCCAAATACGGCCTGGAAGTCCCAAAGTCAAAATGGGAGACGCCCCCAAGGGTGGTGGAGAATGACCGAGCTAAGATCCTGTGGGACTTCCAGATACAGACGGACAAAATCATGGTGGCTAACCAACCGGACATAGTGGTGGTAGACAAGCGGAAGAAGACGGCCGTAGTGATCGATGTAGTGGTTACGAATGACAGCAACATCAGGAAGAAGGAACACGAGAAGCAGATCCCAGGAACAACATCGGAGATCTCTGTCCAGAAGAGCGCAGTCCTGGGAACAGCTAAGATACTGAGCAGGACCCTCAAGCTCAGGCCTCTGGTAGAGGACCCGAGCTTGGAGGACAGACCGCCTGCAGGGGCGAGAGAGTATATACATGTGTGCTTCAATGTTTGGTTTTTCGTTTATAGCACTACTTGGTTTCTTCACCAGGACATAAGTAAATCACACCAGGCACTTTGAATCAGAAATAATCCGATTTCTCGTGTTCGTTTTCTCTTTCAGAAAAGGAAAGACCACTCTACTGAAGCACATAGCTAATAGAGCTCTCAGTATTCCTCCTAACATCGATGTGCTGCTGTGTGAACAGGGTAGGCGAGTCCCTCTTGTGCTCTGTCGTTTTTCTGCTGTGTGCCCTTTGTTATCACCCACTGACTCTGTGCAATGCTTTTGTTTGTTAGAGGTGGTAGCTGATGACACGCCAGCAGTTCAGGCGGTGCTGAAGGCGGACACTCACCGCCTGAAGCTTCTGGAAGAGGAGAAACAGCTCCAGGCTCGTCTGGAGAAGGGAGAGGATAGTGTAGCTGAGAGGCTGGATAAGGTTGGTGTCCATGTGCACTACCAGACCTGATACAGTATACAGCTTATGAACATAGTCCTGCTGCCATAGTTTACAAATTAATAAAGACTTCCTTCAGTTAACCTTCAACTTTAAATGCATTAGCAGTAAGTTAGTACAGCAGTGTCAGCAGAGACACCCTCAGGCCCATTGCTGAGCCAGAGGCTCGGTTTCAGCATTAGGTAGAGATGTAACGTTTGAAAAACCATCCAACAGTAAAATAATTCCTCACAATGTTCTGGCAGACGGTGCTTCCCTTAATTGTCGACAGCCTTCCCATTAATAATGGACCCACATTAAGAGTCTTTGGTGATCTTTGCTGGCCTGTATGCTGATTATCTGACTTTTCTTTCCACAGGTCTATGAAGAGTTGAGGGCAATAGGAGCTGCAGCAGCTGAGGCCAAGGCGAGGAGGATATTGGCTGGTCTGTCATTCACTCCTGAGATGCAGAACAGACCCACCAAGAGGTTTTCTGGAGGGTGGAGAATGAGAGTTTCCCTGGCCAGGTACGCTGTAGCAAACATCCTCAGTGGAACTGGTCATCAACCTGTCTCAACCTTAACGTCTGTGCCCACAGAGCCCTGTTCATGGAGCCCACTTTACTGATGTTGGATGAACCCACCAACCACTTGGATCTGAATGCCGTTATCTGGCTTAACAAGTACGAG